GCCCGCCGACGGCGGGACGGATCCGGATCCGGGTCGGATCCTGACCCGTCGGGTAACGGAGTGTACGGAACCGGGTCGGTGATCGGCAATGTTGCGCCGGAGCTCACCATTTTTTTCCCCTATCCCTTCTGTCGTTTTTTTTTTTGTTGTAAGCAAAAAATGGCATTTCTCTTGGATTATTTATAATCATTAAAAAAGAACAAATAAACCAAAACCTCACAAAAAAATGAAAACAAAAAATATATCACAGGGAGACACATTTATGTCTTCCTGCTAAGTTGGTAATATATGATAATAATAATAATAATAATAAGTATTTGTAAAATTATTTTAGAAAAAAGAAATAAATATACATATATTATACGAATTAATTATATCCAGTCATCATTCCTGAACCATTTGGAAAAAGGAAAAAAAGAAGAAGCATACATTCCTTTAAAAAAATTGTTTTTAGTGCTTTTTGCCGCAAAGATTTGAAAATGTTTTAAATTTGTGGGGCTGATTAGTATTTAATTAAAATTAATGCTTAATATGTGTTAACTCTTTTCCCGTAACCAGCGACTGAGACACAAAAGTTATCCATTTTTTCTGTTTCTTACTCTCTTTCTTTTGGTTCTAATCAAGTAATTAAGTGGATATAAATACTTATCTTTCTAATAAATTTTTAATTTTTCGTTTAAATTATATCGGATTTCGATTTTAGAAAATTTTAGTTTAGATCGAACAACGAGAGATACGGAAAGTTGGAAACTAGATCCTTGTCCAAATCGTACATCGGTTTCAAAGTAATTGATATTCTTTAGTAATGATGTGGTTCATACATGGAGTTAAACTAAATAACCGGTTTTGTATAATCTACAAAAAAAAAAGATATTTATTTTTCATTTTGTCACGTGTTTTAAAGGAGAATTGCACCTGGAAAAAAACATATAACAGGATCGTGAGGTGAACATGTATTCCACCAATTTCATTTTATTCTTTTGCCAATATATTATGTATGACAAAACCCGGTTCAACCAACGTTTTCCAGATTTGAACATATTTACCGGTTTGCACTTTTTGTATTTGTTTTTACCTCCTCCTCACATCAAACTTGTGAAGTGTACAGAGCAAAATCCTCAAGAGCTTCGGAAACCAAATGATGATCGTCCCATTCGTTACGGTACGTCTCGGGACGAGCCCTCTTTCTCAACCCGGTCACCAAATACATCTCTTTTCTCCATTCTTCCATCTCGGGACACCCACATTGCGAGGCCAACCAGTTATTGTATTCGAACTGCGGATTCGGACAGGATCAAATGTTATAAACAACGAGAGATTTGTCTGCCTTTTCTTGGAGTGGAAACAGATGGGTTTGAGTTCGTTCATTCGTTACCTGGGTATTGCCCATTCGATGAGTATATCGCTTGGGGATCCCTTCAGCTTCGAGCTTTGCGTAGAAAGTTTTGACATTTTCCATCATCTCTTCCTCAGAAGGGAGTGGGATCCTACCCGAGAGAATACCCGCGATCCATTTGCTTTGCAGCTCAAACATCGGGAAAGGTACGACCTGAAATTTGCAAAAGACCTTCCTTCTTGAGAAAGAGTGAGTGATGAACGAAAAGGGTTCAGTTCGGGTAAAATGGCTGAAAGTTGGAACTGACCTTCCATGGGATACCGATGAAGGAGAGCCATGGTGCCAATTTCGGTGGGAAGACATCCTTGTACAACGGCCCAACTCGGTTATCATCCACAGAAACTATTCCATTGGTTTCAAGAAACGGGAAGTGATACTTGTACCTTCGGAAAGGAAATAATCACAAGCCGATTGATTCCTTTTTCACTTTCACCACAATCCATGAAAAATCTAAGATAGAATAAGAAAGAAAGAAGGAAAATACCCGGTGCAATGCATAATAACATCAGCAAAAACTGTTCTCCCGTTTTGGAAAACCACAGAACCATCTTCATCGGCACGTTCTATCTGCGTTGTGTGAGAAAACATGGACGGTTATTACAGACACAAATCATTCTTTTTACCGAACAAATTACCATCGGTCTACGAAGTAGCCCACCATAGAATGCATCCGAAGATTATCATAACCGGGCTGCTCTATATATGAATCGGCGGAATTTGATCTAGATACCACATGAACCTCCTTGGCAACAGCAGCTATGTCCCTGCTTATATCATCAGCACTAGCCGAGCTCCCGATCAGCACAACAACCTGCAGATTGCACGAAAACACAGAAAACCGGTAAATTCTCTCATAGCATGGCATTACAATACAATATCTTCCACCACCAGACACAGCTTGTTTAGGGACAAAATTGAAGATCACCACCCATATCAAGATTTGACAGAATCAGATGTCTTTATGAATCGTACCTGATCTTTGAATGGCTCTGGAACACGAAAGTTGTGGCTATGCATCTGCTTCCCCGGCCAAGAACTGATGCCTGAAAGAATTGCCCGAGGGATTCAACCATTAGAAGATCATAAAGATACTTATGATTAAACATCCATTCCTCATTTCACCAACCCTATGAAGCTTCACTATCACATTTGATCTAATTTTCATATAGAACATGAATACGCGGGCTAAAAAGCACTTAACTTCGTCAAAAAGTAAGCTCAACAAGCGAAATCGTTCAAAACCCATATCAAAAACACGGAATCAAGATAAATTACAAAGCCAGAATCAAGAAAAATAATGGAATTACCAGGAATTTCAGCGAGACGAGGTTCTATGTAATGGCCATTACAGACAACAACGGCATCATAAATCTCATCACGAGAACTGCACTTCCCTTTCTCTGTCGACTCGATCCTCCATTTCCCGCCATCTCCGCCGTCCCCCGCCGCCGGAGCTACCTTCACAACCGCCGTCTCGAACCGAATCATCTCCTCGATCTCAAACTCTCGCACGAACTCTTGCAGATACGACAAAACCTCAGAATGAGCCGGGAACCTTCTCGGGTCTTTGGACTCGCCGGGTCGGGTCACGAATGGAAAATCCCTGAAACCCATGCATTCTCGGGGAAGATTCGTGCGGAGAGAGCCGTAGACGCTCGAGTGGACGACGGGTCGGGTCGGGTCCAGGCTCAATGGATCGGATTCGACGTGATCGGTGTAGATCCATGTTCCTCCGGCTTGGTTTTGACGCTCGAAGACGACCACAGAGTGACCCTCGCGACGGAGCTCACGCGCCGCCACAAGCCCGGCGGCTCCGGCGCCTATGACCGCCACGTGGTGCGTTTTGATTGGCGAAAGAGACGGCGCCATTAAAGCACGAGATTTTCTCAGAAATTCTTCAGCCACGTAGGGAAGAGGCCAGGTTGATATAATTTGGCCCATCAACCACAACAATTTTCCCAAATAAATTTATTATTTCAAGAAAAATATAAAATATAAAAAATAAAAAGAAAAAAAATAAAAGAGGCCTCAATTTTTTAAAGGTTTGAAATAATAATTATTAATTATCTTGGACGATATGACCAAAAACTAATAAAATATATTATTTTGTCGCATAACACATGTTATTTCCAACAAAAAAAAAAGAAATAAAGAATGGATGAAATATTTCGTGTTTTAGTGTCAAATATCCATATACCCAATCTTGACATTTAGAGATTATAGATTGGTAGTTTGGCTTATACATATATTGGAAACCTAACAAGAAATATTTAAATAATTAACATTCAAAACGATAAGCTATCATCTCTTGTAGGTGTTATGATATGACACCATATTAATTAGTTATAGGTTCAATCATCATTACTGTTATTTACTCAGAAAAATATTGTAATTGGTATATGTAACTTGTAACACATCATATAAAAAAAACATGGAAGTACAAAGTCAATCTTCACCTGTAAACTACCAAGCTGCTTTAGAGTTAGTGCCAAATTTATGGTGCATAATAATAATAAAAAAGAGAAAATCCCAAAACAATATCTATTTTTTTTAAATTTTTATAAAATAAAACCTAAATTTTGTTTTTATAAAAAACTTCAATTTTATTTTTCAGTAAAAAATAAATTCGAATTTTATAATATTTATCATTTTTAACCCTATAAATGACGTGATGTTCCGATATCGTAACATATGGACGATGATGTGTCAAATACAGTCAAAATTTTATCTTGTCACATAGAATGTCGAAACGCCACGTGGGTTAAAAATGATAAATATTATAAAATTTAGGTTTATTTTTAAAAAAAATAAAATTGAAATTTTATTTAATAAAAAATAAAATTTAGGTTTTATTTTATAAAAATTAAAAAATTCAGGTATTATTTTGGAATATATTCTAATAAAAAAGAAAATACAACTACTTACTATATCAAGTCTCATAATTATAATGATTTTATTTTTCTCATTCTTTACGAAAGCAAAATAAAATATAACATTTTTAAAATCGAATTAATAATAGAAAAATATTAATTCTATGAAAACATTAATTCAAATAAACTGTATAAATCAAATAAATAGTTTTTTCTATTAAAAACAACTTGAAGCAAGATTTGGGAGTCAATAAAAAAATAAATAAAAGAAGGGGAAAAAAAGTGACTATAAGTAATAGAAAAAGATTGTTGATGTGCCACACTAACCACTAAGCCTCTCTCTCTCTCTCTCCCTCTCTCGGAAGAAAGAGAAACCTCTCTCTCTCTCCTCATGATCAGATTTTTTTCTTGGTTTTCTGTCTTGTATTGCGGTAATCTACAATCACATACGCACATTATACACACATATGTGCGTATGTGTATGTATATATAGGCCGGACATTAGCATCTGACCATGAATCTCGTTTGTCACTGAGATTGACTTCCCCCCTGTTCGGTCTGTCCCCGATTTCCAGATCTGTTCGTCAAAACTTGACCATGGAATGCTTCAAGCTTCGTTTTCGGGTAATTCCTCTTTCTCGCTCTCTCCCCGAAATAAATTAAATACTGGATTTGGGTTCTGTTTTTTTTTTAATATTATTTAGAATTTTGGTATACTATGTTGTTGGTTTTGTTTATTGTTGGGTTTTTCATGGGGGTTTCCCCTTGTAGTCTTGTTGTTCAATGCAAATTTAGAAACATACTTGCGCTTAGATAAACGCGAATACACACACACACACATACATATATATATATATATATATACATGTTATAGAACATTTGTGGAAACGTGGTCTAAGATAAATGGAATCTCTTGTTCAAGTTGAATCAATTTCCATTTTCTTTGGCTTCCATAGATGATGATGATGATGATGTGCATATGTTGGTGAATTATGGAATTGTGAGTGGCTTGTTATTGTCTTTGGGTATGTTCACTTGCCACCATGAATGGAGAGATCAAGTTTGATGATCATATGGGGAGATTTCAGCATCAACTTTCAACTGATAACGTATATATGTATAGGTTTGATGAATTCTGAACGGCTTGTTTTGTATTTTGGGTATGTTTATGGTTTGCTACCATGGATATTGCATCTTCCGAATCTTGTTTTTCCCCTTTGTCTGCACTCTTGATCCTAATTTGTATGGTAATGTAAAAGAGGCTTTCGGTTCCTCTCCTCATGCCAAAATGCCCTCGATCGATTTTCTGTTCTTAAACTGGGGTAGTTTGGCAGGGATGGATCTTGACATAAGCCCGGATCAGGCAAGATGTATTTGCATGGTTTGTCCAGGGACAAATCACTTTTGCAGAACGACATCGGTCTGAACTCTGAGCAAGAACGTGTTGATCCTTATTCAGAGGTTTCGAAGAGGAAACCCGTCAGCATGGTCACTCTATTCGGGAGGCAGGTAAAAGACTGCACCTTTATGCTTGGTCATATACGTTCTGTGCTAGGAATCTTTTAACAGTTCAATGATTTATATTGCATTGATTGCTTTCTGTCTGTTTTCGGACAGATGATTGTGAACTTTCGATCTTTGACCCTGTGATGCTTGTTCTTGAGAAACCGTATTTGATCACTTTTTCTGTTTCAGGTGTTTCCGGCCTCACAACCTGTAGATGAACATGCAAATAGAAATTTGAGGAGAGATATAGATCTTCGCATTCAATCCAAGGCAAATGAAGCATCAACCTTAACTTGGATTAGCAAGAGAAGCCCGGTAATTGTAATCGATCTAGAGCAATCTCCCTCGACGAAAGAGACAGAGCCTTCTGCTTCTGTTTCTTGTACCGAGAGAAATCTTGAATCACAGCCGCCGGTGCTGTCTGGTCAAAGCATCTCGAAAATTCAAGAGGCGGGGAAATCCCTTGTAGACGATGATAGATGCTCCGAGAAGTTGGGATTTTCAGATAAAGGTATGATCTTTTGGGGGGGAGGGGGGTTCTTCTGTTCCATTGTTCTGCGCAAACAAAGGTTGTTCCTTTATATGGTTATATGATGAATTCCATACTTTCAGGATATAACATGTCTTCCTCAAAGCAGAGCTTCGTTTCGTGTGAACCATGTCTCCTGGACCTGAACGAGACACCAGTTGATGAGCCTTATCCCGATCGGAACCGATACTTCTTACAGGACCTGAACTGTCCTTATTCTGAAAACACGACACCGAGCTGCGAGAAAAGCGGGGTCGAAGATCCTGCACCGTTTTGCACTCCTCGTAGTCGAGATATTCTTGATAAAGATGGTACGACATCTCCAGCTTCATACACTTCATGCTGCACCACAGAAAACGATTCAAGAATCAAGCCGGTACCCTCTTGCCGTACGCGGCTTGAATACCCTGACACGGAAGCCTTACCGACCGAGCCAAGAAACGGAAGCTGTAATGAGGAAGATCCAACTGAAACGAGCTCGTTTATTCAAATTGCAGCAGAATCATTGGTCTGCATCTCACGCAACAGCTCATACCAGCATCATCAAGACCTGCCATCCAAGCCCGAGTCACGATCTAACAGCCCATCTCGAGATCGAGACCTTCCATCCAAAGAACCGGAGTGTTCTTACGATTCTTATGAACTACTGACATTGGAACTAACCGAAACAAGCCATGAAGACAACTGTGTGTCATCGAAGGCAGTTGATGAACTGAACATTACAGGGGAAAGCAAAGAACTCGGATTCAAGCTGAGACGAGGGAGGAGGATGAAGAACTTCCAGAAGGAGATACTCCCGGGCTTAGTCTCGCTCTCCAGACACGAGATCCGCGAAGACATAAACGTCTTGGAGGCGGTTTTGAGGTCGAGGGAGTACAAGAAGATGCATGGAAATACGGGAGATGACAAATGCGGGAAAAACCCGAGAAAGAGACGCCCGGGTTCGGGGCAAAGACATGTAGGTAGAAGGAGGAGGAGAAGAGGCGGATGAGTATATATACAAAACCCGAGATTCGGGTTTTACGTATGGCTTCATTGGTATATCAATTGTACGGTATGTTTTTTCAGTTATTTGACATCGATTGAAGTTAGAGAGCAGGGAAGTAGCTTGAGTAGTAGGAACTGGCCTTTGTATGATCTTCAAAAACTCTCATATTGCTCGTGTCATTTGTTGTTTTATGTCTTGGAAGGGATAAAGACAATTGAATACGTTGGAAAATGAAATTGACGCGCCACCGTCATTCCCGGCGAGTATATCCCACGCGCCACTGTAAGCTCCGGCCAGATGTGGGTCCCTAAGCAGTATTTACTTTACTCCAAAGAAGATCATAATACGACAATATGTAGCGTCTCATTGTATAGAAATAGAAGCTATATGATATATATATATATATATATATATATATATATATGATGTTTTCAGATTATGGAGTTTCATCCGTTTGAATCAAATATTACTAATCTTCCAATATTTGATTCGACAATAGGCGACGATGAGGATAATAAAACAAAATAAACATATACAACAAGATCACAAAGAAGAATTCTCCATCGGGGGAATCTCTGCTATGATAGAGAAGTTATAATGGATTACCAGAAAAAAAAATTATTTCTCTTGTATCTTATTATTGAATGATGACAACAAGTATTTAATTATTTGATCGATTATGATTTTTATTAAATAAAAAATAAAAAATTCAATAAGAAATTTGAGGTACTCCGTAAGATCACGGGCTGGAGCAAGCCATTCAAAGTTGCACAAATTGATTTCGATCATTCTCATGTCATGTGAATTCCAATTCATATGACCCCTTTTATGTAATCAAGAATAAAGCTTTGACTCAATGGATTGGATTCTCAGTGGATTTTACAGAATATATAACTCGTAAATTATTAAATTAAGGCATATAAAAACATCTCATTTATCATATCATATTAAAAAGAAAAAAGAAAAAAAAAAGACAACATACGGATCGAATACTTGTAAGTAAACAAGGAAGAACAAAACACAAACGAAGACAACGAGAGCGATTCAAGAATCACTGCAATATCAAACCATCTCGCCAACTTCTTCTTTCTTTCTTTCTTCTGATCTTCAAAAGACTGCGTTGTTCCACACTCACTCCTCCGCCTTCTCCTCGGCGGCGGCAGCGGCTA